TCAGAGGTGAGGGGAATGATGTCTCCAGGGTGTGTCGACCAAGACACACCATTTGAGTGGGACCCAGGGTACCGGGGTGTTACCCCACTCTGAAACAAAGGGAACGAAGACAGCACGCGTAACCCTTACCTTCACAGGATTTTAGAGAAATGGGCAAAGAATCCCGTGCCCATTTACCACCTACGTGGAATTTTTAGAAAATGGGCAAAGCAACACGTGCCCATCTACCAGCTATGTGGATTTTAGAAAAATGCGCAAAGCTTCACGTGCACATTTACCACTCACGTGGATTTAGAGAAATGCGCAAAGCCTTGCTTTACGTGGACATCTTACCATATTATCTGGACTTTAAGTTCATGGAAACCCGACCATATCTGCCAGCTGGAAGCGGCCGGCTCACACATCTCAGTGGTGATGGGAGCTCTGCCTAAGACAGCCTTACACAGGAGGATCCTGGTAATGCCCCCTGTATCTCCTGTCCGTTGCCTCAGCAAGACGGAATACGCCGGTGGCCAGAAAACCCCTCGGGGCGACCAGGCACTGTAGCCCAATCCGGGTGCATGATATTTGGATCGTACTCACCCCCATGACTTCTGTACTGGAGCTCTGCTCCGAGGCTCTTATGACCGGATCATGCTGCAGGTACCTTTATACATTCTCTAAGGTTATTTTTACACATGACCACCTCGGTCTCCCATTAGTATACATGCTCTCATGATATATGGATCATACTCACCCATGAGGCTTGTTGCCGGAGCTCTGTCCGGGGATCTTTTGACCGGACCATCAGTCAGGCGGTTACTATGATCTGGCCATAGAACCACCAAAAACATCATGGGCCCAGTAGGAGACTGTTTGAAAAATTATTGTACAGCTAACCTCGGTCAGCTGGAGATGGTGGTCATATAAGGGGGAATTAACAAGAAGGGGATTCCCGAGCCGCGGGAAACCGATGGGTGTCCCTCTCCACTCGAGAAGAGACACAAACGAGAACGGAGCTTTTTCAGCGAAAAGCTCTCGCAATGCACGCAGATTGCCTCCTCGAAGACATCGCGTGCGTGCTCCTCGCCCAAACAAA